GGCCAGCTTGTCTGGTAGCGGCTCTGGGAGGATGGGGGGGGGGGCAGAAGGCTCCACACACTGCCCCCATCTGCAGGCACTGCCCCCACAGCTCCCTTTGGCCGCAGTTCCCCGTTCCCAGCCAATGGGAGCTGTGGGGGCGGTGCCTGCAGGCAAGGCAGCGCGTGGAGACCGCCTTTCCCCCTCCACCCCGGAGCAGCTGCCGGACATGCCGGTCACTTCCGGGAGCGGCGCCAGGCCAGGGCAGGCAGGGAGCCTCTGCCTTAGCCCTGCTATGCCACTGGACTGTTAGCGGCTGATCTCCTGGTTTGGCTGCAGGAAGGTTGGCATGACAACCCTAGGCTGAGACCGAGATCAACTGTCAGAGGCTCCATGATCGACTGGTCGATCATGATTTACTGGTTGGTGACCACTGCTATAGCAACTTTCCATTTCAAAGTACCTTACAAATATTAAGCCTCACAGCACCCTATTTTAAGATACAGAAATTGCCTCTAGCATGAGATACTGTTTCAAAACTATCACTGGTTCATTACTGACTCACATGGAAATGACACCTACTGAATCACCAACCACCACTTCCTTCATTCCTGACATGAATTACATCCCCATTCCATAAGGACACAACTACAAAAATAGATACAATTTAGTGGCATGCATTAGTTATCAATTTATAATGTCCTTCACTTTTCCAAGATACAAACATTTAGTGGCTTAGAGTCACCTATGAACTTGAGCTTGGAAATACTCATTTCAACATACTTTTGACTTTCCTAATATCTAGGAATTTCAGAAGAGGGGCTTGGCTTTTAGACAGACTAAGAGCATAATGGCATACTAATGTGTGTGCCAATTACTTGATTTGTACACACAATTACTGTAATGATGCATATACACACATATACATATACACACACACACAAAAGAGTCAGAGTTTGGCTCATATGTACATTAATACTATAGAAATTACTTTTTGACATGGAAAATTATGCATCTAAACTCTTGTTTGTACCATGGTTTTATACAATTTCTCAAAAGGACTACTAGCTGCTTCTGAACTAATCAAAATACAAGTCACTTAAAAATTATCTAACTTTAAGGAAATAAGCCACTTTAAATATTAGATATTAAATGCCTAAAATAAAATATAAAAGGAATATTTCAACATATTAGTATTTTAAATGTCATGTGCTGAAAAATCCCTTATTCAGTTTATTTGGGTCCATTCATCACCTTTTAAAGTAGTTATTACAGTATTCTTCAAAGATTCATTTGTTTGTCACAGGTGTTAGTGACACCAAACATCTGTTTTGATATAATCCTGGACTGTATTCTGAATTATGTAAAATAACCTTCCCACAGAAAATGCCAGGAAGTTTTCATTTAAAATTTTACCTTATGACTTGCATATAAAGTATAACCAAGATTATATTTCAGTTTAGATGGTCACCAAGAAAGCCCTACAGAAAGTTAGAAAAACAGAATTCTATTTCTGTCTATGCCTAGTGGTGCTTTTGAAATGTATGTGATCCCAGTACACTGCATCTATGAATTAACTTAACATTTTAAGACAATCCAATGCCTCAACTACCCTCTACTTCTACCTCTTTGGTGTTTAAGGAATTATTGGTCTGAGTATCAGTAAGTCTTTGAAGTGGATTCCTGTGTTCTTCTAAGCTAATATCAGCCAAACCTGGAGTAACTATAGCAAGTCAAGTGCCGATAGTGCCAAGTGACCAATATGTTTCATTTCTTATGTGGAGCAAAAGCCAAATACTGGTGACAGCCCGATAGCAACTAAAATGACAATCACGCAAGAAGTCTATTTTTTTAATTCATGTGAAATTGTTTTTATGATTGTTATTCAGCACTCCTAGTGATTTTGCCAGGGTGCTTTATAAATAAATTTATTATTAATTACTGAGTATTTATTTTGGCAGTTTGAATACTGTATCATTAGTAAGATCCATTCATTCTAATACAAGTGTTCAATTCTTATATTAAATTCACCTAAAAAAGCATCAGGCCATGATATGTCAAGTTTTCACAGCTATTTCACTGTAACATTATCAAAGAGGAAAAAAAGTCTGAACTTTTAAATTTAAAATTATTTATTCTTTGTATTATCATAGTGCCTAGAAGACCCAGTTATGGGTCAAAACCTCTTATGCTAAGTGCTATACAAATACAGAACATAAAAACAAAAAAAAAGATAGATTGTAAACTCTTTGGATTAGGGACTAAGTAAAAAGACAAGAAATTGATACAGATGGGGGAGAACAAGGAAACAGCATTGGTCACCATGACAAGCAGTTTCTCAGCACAGCAGCAGCTTAGCCACTCAAGTTTTTTATAGGCATCTTGGCAAAATTCTCCTTTGAGGAGATTTTGAAGGAGGATAATGAGTTAGTTTTGCAGATGTTTACGGGTCACTCCTCCCAAACATAAGGAGCAGCCTGGGAAAAAGCATGAAGGTGCTTGTTAGAAAATTCAACAAGTGGGCAATGAAGGCTAGCATCTTGGGCCAATCATAAGAGAAGGCTGTCATCTCAATACCGAACCAGGGATGATTGGTAAGATGGGGATAGACCATGAAAGGACAATTGTGCTATTATATTGATCCCTTCATAGGGAGTTTACAATATCTAATACGGTATATACGGGTGTTTCCCTCATTAATACTTTGGGAAGTAAATCAAAGTGAAGTTAGATCAAGAATTGTACAACAGCCTTCATACATATATCATACCATATATGCATTTTTATTAGATAACCAGAAATTGTACTGGACATTCAGATCACACCATTTGATCTGCTACAGATCTATTATCATTATTACTGACTTACTGTAATTCTCATAAGGGTAAGAAGACCATTACATTCAGAAATCATTATCTTAGCTTCCTTTTCTATTAATTTGCATTATGCCTGTTCTGTGTCATTTATTCAGTAACTCAAGGAGTCCTCTTCACCAAGAAGCCAGTCAAATGGAGGATTTCCTTATATAGCCGTTTGCACCCAAAGGTTCCCCTTCAGTCCCACCAACAATGGAGAAGCATGTGTCAGCTGGACAAGTGTTTGTTTTGGTTTTTCATGTTTTAGTTACAGATTTCCCTCCCACCCGCTCATGTGGATGGAGTCAAGAAGTACTGCACGCTACAATCACTGAAAGCACTTGTGACTCAGAAGCATCTTTCCAGTGGATGGTTACACAACTTCTAACTCTTCTATTTCCAGTGAAAAACAGAAAGCACCACTGTAAAGAGTCAAAAATACCCGAGTAGAAAGTTTTCTGCAGCAGCCCTCCTCCCCAAGATCATCTGTGCAACACTTCAAGCCACATTCTAGCTGGATTGTTTCTCTTCCTCTTTAATGTAGAGCAAAGATAAAAAGAGCAGATATAACTAGATTGCAAGGCCCAGAACAAAACTGAAATTCCCAGCCACTTCCCCAACAGTTCAACCATCAAGACTGTCTGGTTTAATAAAAAAGAAGCCATGTTATTAACCAGCTAAGAGTTCCTTCATATGACAAGGTGCAATCATAGGCGAGAGGGGGTTATTCTGTCTGTTGAGTAGTCTCTTTTTCCCCGCTCTGAGAGCACATCTGTATGTTTCCATTCCCTCAGTGCAGATTTAAGAATGATTATTCTTGGTTCACAGGAACTGTGAGAATTTTATTGTCTGTCAGTGTGTTTCTTAGGCACCACTTGAGACCATCTATGGCTTTGCTAAGGAAACCTGCACTGAAACTAGTTACACCACGAGATACCCTCTATGTAAGATATATATGCACAAACCACATGCCAGCTGGTCACCAGTTTAAGGACCTGTACCAATGAAGCCACATTTGATACACACAGGTCATGAACATTGGAGTGGCACATGCTATGTCCACAGTGCTTCAAGAACCACCAAAAAGACCTAAATATCTTTAGGCTTGGATTATTTTTTATTGGTAAATGTTGTTAAACATTAGTTTCACCACATGCTAACAAAAATATTGACATTTTAAATTATAAATATTGTAATTGAAATTTACAGATAGGCAAAGAACAAAATATGCTGCTTGAGAAGTCAGAGATTGATTTAAGGCTATTGTATTGATTTAAGGCCCTTGTATATTTTGATATGTTGACAATTTATGTTTTAACCATTATAAAGCTTTATTTTTGTGGCTCAGGGTGTCTACTGTCATTAAATTAGTACTGTTGTTACCTGCTGCCCATTATCTGGCCACCCCATAACTTCGCACAACTGTGAAAATTTAAACCAATAAAAATGAAAAAAAGGCTTAAAATAAACATGGATACCCATCAAAATGATAAAAGAAACTAAAATTGAATTCTGCCAAGCCTAACCCTAGAGGCCAGTTGTGTGTCAAGCATCCTCCTGAGGGGCATTGCACGGCTGATGCCAACACACCACCAGCCATCCTGCAGGCACAACAAAATCTGGTGCCCCAGCATGCTCAGCTCCCCCAGGACAGGCCCTTTACCGTGAGACATGGACATCTTCCTTCAGGGGACAACACCGGGCACCCCCACTCCCCAACTGGAAAGTTACACACCAAGTCCCTGAGCCAGCCTCACAACATCCCACCCAGGGGCACCAGCTGCTGCCCGTAAGAAGGCACCACTGCAACCCTGACACCCTGGCTTTGCTATCTCCTAACAGCAACCCCTCGGCCCTGGGGCTGCCAGGCCCTTCCCACCTGGCTACCAGCCACCAGGACTCCCCCCCCACACACACAACACTCCCTTCACCCCTCCCCACTCCATCACCCCCTCCACTTAACCCGCCCGCTCCATTCCATTCCCCCACCCCTCCCACTCCACTCCATTCCATTCCCCCTCCCCCGCTCACCGCGCGGCGAGCTCTTCCCCCCTCAGAGGCCCGCGTGCCGGAACCGGTGGTATTGACGGCGGTTACTCCCGTCCAGTGAGTGCGGCCGATAACTCCGGCGCGGCTCCATAGTCCGCCCTGGGTCCTCCGCCTCCTCACGAGACTCAGCCGCAGCCGGGCCCGCTGGGGGGAGCCGGCAAAAGAGGAAGGAGGGGGGGAGGAGAGAGACGACAACACTGCGCATGCGCGAGACCGCCGCTGTTTCCCATTCAGGAGAAGGAAGCGGTAAGTGCAGCGGGGTTGCGTACGCGAGGGTCGGCCCGGAGTCCGAGGGCGGGGGCCGAGAGAGGAGACTCACGCTAATGCGCATGCGCCAAACTTCCTACGCCAGCGAGAGGGGAGCGAGGCAAAGGCGACGAACAACGACGCGCATGCGCGGGGTGCGGCTGTCTGAGCGCTGGCGCGATCCGCCTGTGTGGGCGCGTGGGAAGGCTGCGCGCAGGCGGAGTGGCTGCCCTCCCTGTGAGGGGGGGTAATGCCGAGTCCAGTGGATTTGCCCCGCCCTCTGTTGTGGGGGTTTGCTCCATTGCAAGCGCCAGGCTGTGTTGAGACAGTGGGGAGTGAGGATCATGCTCCTTGGGGTCAGTGTGCTGCACCTTTTTGCACCATCGAGCCCCCCCCCGGTCACCGTGTTACACATGCTGAGTGTTGCCAATTCCAGGCACTCATGAACCATGAGTCGGGCATAACAACCCCCACGAGAGCGGCTTAAAAAGCATGAGATTTTTTTTTAAAAGATTAATTTTAGGCTTATTTTATTTCCCCAATTTTTGAGCTTGGGTCACGTTTTCAAACATGAGAACTAGAAACGTCTCCCTTAAAAAAAAAAAAAACAAAGCCGAGATTTCCATCTCATCACTAGACGGTAGACCGTGAGAGCTGGGGCTGTGTGGTAAAAGTGCAAGAGTTGACAACATTATTAATGCTGAAAAAATATTTCATTTGTATTACTAAAGCCATACTGTGCTAATCACTGTAAAAACGTATAAGAAAAAAACAGCCTTGCCCAAAATAGTTAACAACTGAAGTTTAAGATGAGAGGCCTATTAATTTTATCAGGACATCCCCAAAAGAATCTAGAAATTCTGCAAATCTCCAGTTCAGTGGATTCCTCCTCTCCAACCCCTTAAACTTCACATATTTAATTACAGTGATACTTGGTCACCTTTTTAGAAATCATGCTAATAGTTTGTGCTCCTTTCTACTACCTTTTATCTGATGCTTGCAAAGTGCTTTAAAAATCTTCTCTATGCCTCACAAAAATCACTGTGAGGGGGGTGTGATGCACTTGATATGCTTTATGGAAATATGCTTATGAATATGACATAACTGGAATATGCTTTATACTAAATACCCCTTGTATGGTGTCATTAGAAAGCTTGTAATCTACTAAGTGTGTTCATCCTATTTGTTTGCATGTATTATTTCTATATCTGGAGTTAGGAGAATAAGATATAAACTTGTATCACTGCTGTAAACCTTAAGTGGAGGCCATTAAGGGTGCTCCAAAAACAAACAATCAGTTGTAAATGGCCTTAGTTACTTGAAAGTCTTCCTGTGTACATGTGGGCCAGCCCATGGGGAACAGAGACTAGGGATGTTACAGTGACACGTGACCATGTCATCTGATAATGAAATCCATCTTAAATCTGGTACTTTTTCATTTAGAAGGAGGGGTGGGGATCCAGAGAGACAAAAGATTCCCGCTTTCTGCCAAAGCTATAAAAGGGGGTGGAGCAGCACAAAATGGGCAGCCAGTCATGAGAAAACCCCTGCTTACCACCTGAGATGTCTGATGGAACTAACAAAGACTGTACCAGGGGAAAGGATTGGGCCTGGACTAGGAAGGAGCCTAGTCTGTGAAAGAAGCTTATTCAAACATCTTTGAGGATGAGATATTACCTGTAATCAGTTTCTTAATGTATTAGGCTTAGACTTGCATGTTTTGTTTTATTTTGCTTTGTGACTTACTTTGTCCTGGCTATTATTACTTGAAACCACTTAAATCCTACTTCTTATACTTTATAAAATCATGTTTGTTTATTACTAAACCCAGAGTAAGTGACTAATACCTGGGGGAGCAAACAGTTGCACACATCTCCCTATCAGTGTTATAGAGGGCAGACAATTTATGAATTTACCCTGTATAAGCTTTTTAGAGTATAACGGATTTATTTGGGGTTTGGATCCCATTGGGAGCTGGGTGTCTGAGTGCTGGAGACAGGTAAACTGCTGAGCTGTTTTTAGTTAAAGTCTGCAGCTTTGGGGGCATGGTCCAGACCCTGGGTCTGTGTTGCAGAAGGCGAGCATGTCTGGCTCAACAAAGCAGAGTTCTGGAGTCCCAAGCTTGCAGGGAAAACGGGCTCAGAGGTAATTTCAGCAGATCAGGTGACAATCCCAAGGGGACCTCTGTGACCAAACCCATCACAGTGGGAAAATAGTTATCTCCAGAAACAGCAATGAAAGGTGTTGTACAATCTTTAGCAATTACTTCAAGACAAAGGCAGAGCTGAGAGTAGAGTCTGTGATTCCTGATTCCCGATCCCTGCAGTCATCACTTGACCTGGAAAAAAATTCATACTAGTCTTTATGTGACATGACAGTATATAGTACCGTATGCAACCCCAAAGTGAGTGTTATCACTGTGTGATGCCGTACAGGGCATGGACAGTGACTGATGCAGTTACATTTTCAAAGCATGGAGCTTCAGATGAATTAAAAATCATCTTAAACCACTTATTTTGTTTAAGTGACTAACCAGCACCCAACTGCAGCCTGTGATGAACACACAATTGGTATCATATCCCTTCAGAACCCTATTCCACCTTCACAGCTGATGGACATCCATGGTTTATTGACAATGTTTGGTTGTAATACAGAAGGAAGGCCAAGCTCAAACAAGGCCCTCTGTAATTTGTCCCAGTCTGTACATGGTATGTTGTAATTTTATCAGCAACATCTTTAAAACTTATTGCTTCAATATTTAAATAGGCAAAATACAAACCAGATTCTAATCTGTGTGAGAAGTGCAAGTATAACATATGGGCTGTGTGAGGGGGAAATGAAGTCAACGATGAGATCATGAATAAATATCTTCATATGCTTTACATAGCAATTCAATGTGCAACAGTTAGATCACCTCCCATATATAATAGGGATGTTTTTGGGTGACCATGTACTTAGCAAATTCCAAGAGTGATTCAGCAATTAATTAGCAGAGGTGTTTCTGTAAGTGTGAAATACAACAGTAGGAGAGCAATTCCAGCATTTAATGATTCTTAAAGGTACACCTGCACGGCCTTGTAACATAATGGCAGTTCCTGGGCTGAAATTTGAATCCTGGTGGGTTTCATAGATTCATAGATTCTAGGACTGGAAGGGACCTCGAGAGGTAATCGAGTCCAGTCCCCTGCCCGCATGGCAGGACCAAATACTGTCTAGACCATCCCTGATAGACATTTATCTAACCTACTCTTAAATATCTCCAGAGATGGAGATTCCACAACCTCCCTAGGCAATTTATTCCAGTGTTTAACCACCCTGACAGTTAGGAACTTTTTCCTAATGTCCAACCTAGACGTCCCTTGCTGCAGTTTAAACCCATTGCTTCTTGTTCTATCCTTAG